TTTAGCCTTTTTGATACTACATTATTAATATTTATTTCATGCCATTTTTTCTAGAAAGATTTTTTTGCTCTATATAAAGTCCAGCACTCTAAGAAACTTTTTTAGCATTGTTGTCTGGTATATTTTATAATAAGTTCAGAAAATATACCTAACCACTGATTATCACCAAATATTAGAAGAAATATATGTATATAGAAATCTATATCTATCACTTTAGGTGATGCAAACAACTCTTTGGTGAACAAAACTATACTCTGTTGCAACATGTTGCGAAAGTATAAAAATGTTGCGAAAGAATTCAACATTCATTACTCGATTATTATTTGGTATCTTATTAACTTATGTTATTGATCATAGATTTATTTTGTGTCAATACTATTTTTTTCTACGAAATGTTAACTTTTATAAAAAGAAGCTATTTAACTCAAACATGGTATATGTGATATAAACTGAACCAAAGGGGTTAGATTTTATATGTGGGGTATATGAGGTTGCTGTTGTACCAGAAGAGCGGAAATCAGTATATTAGGGTTATAAGGTTTAAACAAAGTCTAAACCAATTTCATTCATATGCAGCGATATACATTATTTTTAAGAAAAACTGTCCATTTAATTTCATTAAATTATTAAATTGATGAAAAAATTATACCATAAGTAGTACATGTGAGCTGGAAAAATCAAAGACCAGAAAATTCCTCCAAACCGTATATTAAAAAATGTTGAATTAAACATCCATTATTAAAAGATATCATGATTAGATTACAATTAAATTTGGTATCTTCTTGACTTATATTAAAGGCCATAAACTTAGTCTCAGTTTTATTGCTTGAAGTGAGATACATAAGTATGAATGTGATATTAACTCCACCAAAGTGGCTAAATTTTATATTATTAGCTTAGGCAAACGTCAACCAGAGAATCCGAATTCATTATATGAAGGTGTGAGGTTTAGACTTAGTATATACTAATTTCATTCTAATTCAGCGTCAAAACACATAAGTTTTAAGAAATCTTTTCCACTTAATTTCGTTAAAATATCCCGTTGATCAACCGAAACAGTGTAAATTCAGGTGGAAAGACGGAAATCATATATATTATATATTGGGGATAGAGAAATATATTCATTTTGACATTGCTCAGCTATACTCGAGAACATATTTTGAAGCAATTTTATATATAAAAAAAAATATATTTACTGGTTAGAGTAACGAAAAGCATTATAAGTAGTATATGGAATTTGAGGGTAGTATTAACCCGATTTTATTAATTTTTTCCAATACCACATACTACTAACATGCCACAGACTAATAAATTGCTCCCACTGTTTCATTAAGGTACCTCACATACCATCACCAATCAAATGGAGTAAAGTCAGACGAATGTTCGAAAATCCTGATATTAGTTAGATGGGGGCTAAGGAAAATTTTCACCCGATTTGATCTTGTTATGAGTAAAACACGCTCTCTCATTTTCATTGAGATAACTCACATATGCGGTATAAAGTCACGCGGAAGTTCAAAAATATTTATATTAGATATATGAGGGCTACAAGGACTATTGATCCGATTCAACCCATTTTTGAAACAAAGACATACTATTATCGATAGTTTCATTTATTTATTCTATTATATGAATTTCAATTATATATCTTACACAATGGCCGATATTTACGGTAAAAAGTCAACTATAGGTACTGGGGTCCACATATTCAGTACCTAGGGGCTTGAACAGTTTTGGTTCGATTTAGACAATTTGTGGCCACAAGGTGGCATGCTTTAAACAGATTATTCACGCAAAGTTTTATGCCGATATAATCTTTGTTGCTTGATTTGCATAGTGGAAAGTGAAAGAATCAAGTGAAATTTAAAATGGTGTCATATGGAAAATAGGCGTGGTTGTAATCCGATTTCGCCCATTTTCGCACCATAACATAGAAATATAAAAAGAATGTTATGTACTAAATTTGAAATCGGTTAAAAAGATCCCAAGATATGGGTTTTTACCTAAATGTGAGCGGTGTCACGGCCACTTACTAATTTTTCCTATAAAGTCATCTTATACCATCCCTGAGGTAGGTAGAGGTGCTAAAAACATTTGTGAATTTTGTTATTATTTTTTGATTAATGGCATTTTGTGGGCGTGGCAGTTGTCCGATTACGCCCATCTGCAATACCAACCGTCCTACTGTACCAAGTTTCATAAAGATATCTCAATTTTTACTCAAGTTACAGCTTGCACGGACGGACGGACGGACAGACAGTCACCCGGATTTCAACTCGTCTCTTCATCCTGATCATTTATATATACATAACCCTATATCTAACTCGATTAGTTTTAGGTGATACAAACAACCGTTAGGTGAACAAAACTATTATACTCTGTAGCAACATGTTGCGAGAGTATAAAAATGGTCGATCACATAGCGTGGCACGATCATCCATATCCTTTATATTACAAATCTGCATAATTAAACAACTCTTTCATACAGATTAACATGGATGTGGATACGCCAACTACTCCCACGCCAACTGTGCGGTCGGCTACCAACGTGCCACGCACGGGGCCTACCCCAACGCCCCGATCTGCAGTTGCAACTACCCCTGCAAGCGCACCTGCAACGACATGTCAGCACCAGTTCCTCGCGGTGGCACGCGACCTTAACCGACACTATCATCGCCGCCTTCAGAGGCACATCGTATACGATGTCCCATATGTCGGCGCCAACATCGCCTGGAACATTGTGGGATTTTTAGAAGTATGCGACCGTTGCAACGATATCAAGTTGCCCAGGCACACGGGCACTGTCTCAACTGCCTATCGCACACGCATGGGACTCAAGAGTGTGTGTCCACGGGTCTGTGCCAAATTTGTAGCAGACCACATCACACACTACTTCATCGCACCTCGAGGCGCGACGTCGGTCGGCCACCTACTCTTCGAAGCCGCGCAACAGGACCTCGACCCTCAATTCATGCGGTACACCCGCGGAATGTAACACCACGGCGTCGACAGCCTAGACCGCAACCACGTCGTTCCACGGGTCTTAGCAGCGTTGTGGCAACGCTACAACAGCTGCAGCGACTACTAGGCTAATCATTTGCCTAGGGGGACCGGGATGGTTAAATGACCACTCAATCCCCCCTCACCATAAGACATTGTCACACCACATCATCACACCTACTTACCATACATTCCACACCTACATACCATACACTCCTCACTACACCATGCACCAACACGCACACAAATACAACTTAACACCGATCACACCATCATGAAGACATCAGCAGATATATAAGGGACTAAAAGAAGGATCCCGCCCGCTTTTTAGCATTTCGATTCGGTTACGATCACATCGCTTTATTTCGAGCACCCGCCTCTGCACTTCGCTTTACTTGTACGAACGGTGAGTGAAATCAAAATTAATTTACTACTTAAGTAAATACTGAGACATGATATAAACCCGGAATACGGGGATCGAAATATACATATCCATATCAATAGTTCCATACTAATATTATAATATCATATATGTGAATGTGAGTATGTTTGTTACGCTTTCACACCGAGACCACGTAACCGATCATCCCGAAACCTCAAGGGCATTGAATATTTATTATTAAAATCAAATTATATTTTTTAGTTTTTTGTTTTTAAAATAATTTGAAAATTGAAAGAAATTATTTTGGCAAATATGATTTTTCGTCGAAAAATTTCCAATTGTACAAAAACAAAAATGCGCAAAAAGCGTAAAATATACAAAGTTGGAATTTTCTAGTTACCACCACCAACAAAAAAAGTATTATCACGATACAGTATTAATGTAAATATGTATTCAATACTTTTTTTTGTTAATAATTTTTGATACATATATATTTAAGGGATTCAATGCGAGCGAAGTCGCGGTAAAAACTAGCATATATTAAATAAACATATAAAATGAAATACTTTACTCATCTGGGCATTGCCCGCACTCCCGGAAATTTGTAAAGGCGTAAGGAGCCTTTGCAGCTTCGGATGCACTTTCGTGGTATATTCGATCTGTAAAAAAGTTCCCAATAGTATTTTCTTTTAATTTAAATTATAGAAAATAATACTAACCTATTGATCCGAAATAACTTGTTTGGAAATGTTTCTATGAAAAAAAACCATAAAATAATTATATTAAAAACATTTAAAAAAACAATTTCTTTTCAAAAAAACTTCTCCGTCCGTTTGACTAAAAGTTGTTAATAAATTTAAATGCCATTATTGCTATTAAGCATTGCGTAACAGTGTTGCGCAAGCTAATTTTAAATAACTTTTTAAAAAAGAAATATATCTACCGTATTTTAAAGACTATTATCTACCGATTAAAGATATTGCAACCTAAAAAAATAATTTATTTTCGAAGTCTATATATTTAAAAACTAATCTAAGAAGTATATAACAATATGGTAATTTTGTATGTCAAAAGTTGTAATAAACTATTGTGCATATATCCACCGTTAAATGCTGATATATAAAACGTAAATAAAATTTGTGATTAAATAAGTTTATACTTAGATTAGAGAAAACATCGGCACAGTAACAATTTCTTGATATAAGTACAATGATAAATTTTGCTTTATTGTTTAAATGAATTATTATCACTTGTATGACAATGATAAGTTTTGCGTTTTTGATTATATAAATTATTATTACTTATAATATCAAATTCTGTTACAATAGTTATTTCTTCCCGTCCACTCATAGTTAAATTGAATTTTTAGTTTGTCCAATAATAAATTAATTAAAATGCTTAAAAATATGCCGCATATTTACCTATATCAACATTGTATAATATCATATATTGTTAGCATCTAACATCAATTAATAACCAAAATTTAAAATATTTATAAATAATTATTAAGACGTTTTCTGTTATGCGCAACCCGTTTTAACCCCTCGCCACCCTAACTCACCATGGCCACCATGTTGGTTTTATTGTGAACGTACGCCTCAGAGGTGGCGAAACTACTGAGAATAGGACTTTCGCTACTCCCTTATACCATGATTACGTTCAAATGCTTGCGAGATATAAAAAAATAAGTTCGCTATATTTCGACTTGCGAGCAATTCCTTGATCGTGTAACGTCCGGATTACATATTTTGATTGAGAACTGGCAGCTCTATTTTATAAATATAAAGTAATTACGTAACTCTATTTTGTATCTGATGTATACTTTAAATTGGCTTAAACGTTGTTTTAGTATTTGATTTCGCTAATTTAGAATGTCATATAAACGAATGAGACAACAAAAGATGACAACTCAAGCTCTGTTGGATTTTGATTTGGGTGAAAGTTCGTCAGATAGTGATTTTCGTATAGAAGATCATGACAGTGAGGAAGATCCTGATACAAATGATGAAGGAAATTCTTCAGAAAATAGTAGTGAAGAAAATGAAAGTGATTCAGACGAATTGTATACTGAGCATTATAGTGATAATTCTCATCAAAACGTAAAACAAAATGAAAATGATAACTGCTCAAAGCCCGAATTTATGGGCAGTAAAGAAATATCTAAAGTGTTACAGAAGTTGGATACAAATAGATGTGTAGAATCTAAATTATCTTCAAAATCAATTTGCTGTGTTTGTTTAGGAGATCGAAGTGATGACTCAAACGAAATAATTGAATGCGATGGGTGTGGGGTATCTGTTCATGAAGGATGCTACGGTGTAAATGAAAATGTGAGTATATCGAGCACTAATTCTACATGTTCTACCGAACCTTGGTTCTGTGAAGCTTGCCGTGCTGGCGTTTTGGAACCAAATTGTGAGTTGTGCCCGAATAACGGTGGAATATACAAAGAAACAGATGTTGGAAAATGGGTGCATTTAATTTGCGCTCTCTATGTTCCTGGTGTAGCTTTTGGAGAAGTAGATCAATTATCTTCTGTTACTTTATTTGAAATGCCATATAACAAATGGGGAGCCAAGGTATGTTCCCTCTGTGAAACTCCTCGTTTTGCACGCACGGGAGTGTGTATTGGATGTGATGCTGGCATGTGCAAAACGTATTTTCATGTAACATGTGCCCAAACTGCTGGATTTCTTACAGAAGCACATCACGAAGAAGCTGATGCTGCAGATCCATTTTTTGCCCATTGTAAAGTGCATTCTGAAAAAGAAATGATAAAACGACGAAAAAGAAATTACCATAATCTTCGACTAAACATGCAGCAGAAGCAAAAGGGGAAAAAACTTCAAAAATTTGATGACCCTTGTCCGGCACAGTTACGTATTCAACGTAAACTTTTGAAATATCAATCTAAGTATTCCCATAGCAAAAAAGTAAAACCAGTTCCATGGGTACCAACACAAAAGATGTCACGTCTACTTACTACTTCAGCTTCAGCTTGCAAGAGGTTATTGGCGAAAGCGAACATAATGGCAGTTGATGTAGAGCTATTAGAACGTCAAGAAGCACAGATCGCTGCATTGACAGATATTCGTAAGAAATGGCATATAGCTCCAGCATTTAGCGTAGAATTTATTGGATATTATTTGGATAGAATTTCACGAACACATGAGCTTAAATTGCAGCTTTCAGATATGATGGAAAATAATCTGACCCTATCGAAAGAACAGGATTTACTTCGCAATACATATGACGCAAGGTTGGATAAGAATAAGAACTTAAAGTCTAGACAGGTAAATTAGTATATAAAAAATATGTATATATATAGAATAGAATAGAATAATTTTGAGGTATGCACCGCGATCTAAGGTCTATTGTGCCCTCCCCTAAGTCAAAACGACTCATCAAGCCCCAGCATGTTGATAAACTCTAATATTCTGCTGGGTGCTAGTGAAGCGATACCATCCCTTTTTGGAAACATTGATCCCAGGGCCTTGATTCTGCGTCTGCAGACTGCTGTGCAGCTCATGAGCAGATGTTCTTGGGTTTCCGGCTCCATGTCGCAGAACCGGCAGTTTGCAGAAGAGGCTAAGTCCATGTTGAAGAGATGCTTCTTAAGCCTGCAATGGCCGATGTAGAATGCGACTAGCACCCGAAATTTGTTCCTCGGGAGATTAATTACGGCTTTCAACCGGTTTTCTAGTCCCCGCTTGGATGGTAAGTGATAGTTTGGTTGTCGTCGAGGTCATCTAAAGGCAGGTCCAAGAAACGGGCTGTTTCGACGGGGTCGGATTATAGGGAAAAGGGTGTTAGATGAGTTGGGTTTGTTGGGCATGCAAAGAGGTAGTCAGTATCATGCGGGGCCTCATTACATGCAGGACATGTGTTTGGTATGTCAGGGTCTATTCTGGATAAGTAGGAGTTTAACCTGCTACAATATCCAGAACGAAGTTCCGCGAGGGTCACTCTGGTTTCGCGGGGCAACTCGAGCTCTACGACTGCTATAGGTGGTGGTTTGACTCCTAGTACGCCATTCAACAACGTTTCTTTGCCTTTTCCCCAAGAGCTGCCGGCAAGCGACTTGAGGATTTTGTTGCGGCTCTGTACTTTGGCAGTTATCGCGGTCGTGTAAGGAGTGAAGGAGCACAGACTGTCCAATGTGACGAAATTTTAGGGTTATTTACTGTCGGAATTTTAGTGCCATCGACTGAAATGTGCAGGTCCAGTCTGTACTCCTTCGTCCAATTTGTGAAGATGGTCGCTGTAGATTTAGTGGGGGAGAGTGTTAGGCTCCTTGCAGAGAAAAAGCGAGAAAGATCGGAGAGGTAGCTGTTTACTTTTGAACACATGCCATCGATTCCATTGCCCGACGTCAATATCGTGCAGTCATCAGCGTACGAGGTCACTAAAATTCCCGTTGGTGGCTGGGGGAGTTTCGAAATGTAGAAATTAAACAGTAGTGGGGAGAGGACACCGCCCTGCGGAACCCCCTGTTTAATTTTCCTAAGCTTGGAGATTTGGCCTCGAAGCTGTCCGGATAACCACCGCTTCAGCCCTGGAGGGAGCGTTGATTGTTCTAGGTCCTCAAGTAGCGTTGCGTGATTGACTGTGTCAAAAGCTTTTGCCAAGTCCAACGCTACGAGGATCGTCCTCTCGCTGGGTGGCTTCTGGTTCAGGCCATCAACTATCTGGTCGTTTATGACGCTAAGTGCTGTGGTGGTGCTGTGCACTTTTCGGAAGCCATGGTCTGAAGCTGATGGTCTGCTAGACTCAGGTGGTGAGTAAATGACGGGAGTAACAAGGCCTCAAGAGTCTTCACTACTGGGGAAAGGAGAGTTATGGTGAAAGTAATTGGTTCGCAGTCTTTTGGCAACATGCGTAGCCGTCGGGTGACACATCGTTTGGCCATGTTGGTCGAAGGGTGCAGTGTAAACTGCCGGCTAAAATAGCTCGCGTACTTCTTCGGGTCCGAGGAGGCATGGCCATCGAATTGAATTTCAACCCGGTCGTCATGTCTCCTCGGATTAGACAAGGCCTTGACAGTATTCCAAAGCTTGCTCACACCGGTGGAGAGATTACAGGACTTCAGGTGCTCCACCCATTTTTTCCGCTTATGTTGGTTTACTATTTGCCGAATCTCCAAATTGAGATCCCTTATTCGGGGATCACAGGGATCGGCATGGCATTTGCTAATACAGCTGCTTCGGCTGGGATATTTGGGCGGAGTTCCGCAATTTTACCAGCCGATATGAAGCGAGCGGTAGCAGCAGCGATCACCTTGCGGAATTGACGCTCGCCAACGATGGACGGTCTGTAGGAATGGGTAGTGCGTTGAACGTACTCTCAGTAAATTCTGTGAAGCCGACTGTGAGCTTTGTTAAAGTTAATGAAGGTGCAATTGTCCACAGAAATAAAGTCGGGAGGTTCCTCGATCGAGATAATTATGGGCAGATGGTCTGATGTTAGCATAGGTCGCCAGGTTATGCTATTTATCAGACCACCGCTAGCGATGGTAATATCGGGCGAGCTATTACAGGTGCCCATACTTCTGGTGGGGGCTTCGTCATTCATTGTGCAGAATGTCGAAATGTCAATCTGTTCCGCCAGCTCCATCCCCCTACGATCGTTTGACAGGCAGGAATGTCAAAGATCGTGGTGCGCGTTAAAGTCGCCTAGCACCAAACGGTTTTCACCACGAATCAGCGCACCTATGTTCGGGTGATATCCTGTTGGGCAACATGTAACTGGGGGGGTGTATATGTTAAATATTTCTAGCTCGACATCGCCTGACCGAACAGCTATACCCTGACATTCAAGGGTAGTGTCCCTGCGGTCGATGTCACCATCGATTAAACGATATTGCACGGTGTTGTGCAATATGAAGGCTAGGCCTCCAGGAAATCTCGCTCGCGATCCTTACGCAAAACGTTGAAACCTGCACAACTCAGAAGATCTGAGCGGCTGTTTAGCTTGGTTTCTTGGACCGCAGCTATCGATATACGTTCCCGGCTCATATATGCAACTATCTCCTCGATCTTGCTCAGGAGTCCGTTGCAGTTAAATTGTAGGATTCGGGTTTGTCGCGGGTGTCCAGTCGTGATCCTGGGGGGGAGGGAGGTACGTGTAGGTGGTGGTTGTTGTAGCTGTAATACCCGCATGGGCGGTTGTCGCACTGTGGTGTTGTTTGGCGACGCCACTTGATGGTATTGCGGGGGCAAACTCCTACAGCATGGGGCAACACATGACGCACTACACTCACGTGTGGTGCGCAGTCCGGAACACGACAGAAAGTGACACCAGCCAGTGCAAGAATTGCACTTGACTGATGTGACGTTCCGGCGTATTGCGGACTGACACACGGGACAGACTGTGCGAGGAACCAGGAGTTGCTGATTGGTTCTCGCACGGGGATTGGAGCAGGATGAAGGTAGAGGGGGGGTTGGTCAGATTGGGAGTCATGCTGCCTAGAGCTCCTTAGGGCCGTAGAGGTCCTTTCTTGGCCACTCAGTTGGAGTGGCGGCGCAGTGCTTGAATCTGGTGCAGGTTGCACAGCCGTTAAGGCTGGTGTCGCAATATTGCGTTGGCAGCATGGTGCCACATAACTCGTGGACTACTCCCTATGGGTCTTAAGGTCTGAGCAGGTCTTAAGATGGCTCCATCCATTGCATGTATTACACCTCACCGAGGTGGAGTTTGGATGGAGCCTTTTAGCGCATACGCAGCAAAAGAATTCCTCGGAGCCCGGGTTGGACTCGATGCCAGCACGGGTCAAGAGGATACGGAGCAACCCTGCTGCAAGGTGTTGCTCTAGTGACGACAGACTTAGACTTACACTTACCGATCCAAACAGAGTTAGATCGCCGAAATAACAGCCCTTGGCCGGATGAAATCCGAGTCAATTCCGGTAACGATGCAATGTTGCCCCTCTGCCGCTTGGTGTTGGTCGTTTCACCGCTTGGGTGGTCGAGGGAGCTGCCTTTTCGCAACTTCGACCTGCGGACTGAGTTGCGCTTACTGGGCAGTGACATCGATTACCGCCATTTCTTTTCTTAATGGCCGCGGTATTTCCACCCTTCTGCTTATCTGAAGCAGGGGAGGAACCGTCGCCGCTCACCCTGTTACGCGCTAGATTTTCGCCTTCCTCCGGAGTTCTTCCCTCCTGAAGGTGCCTCAAGTACCACTTCAGGCTGGCACCACTCATTCCTTTACTTCTTGGATCATCCTGACCTCCAGGACACCCAGTTGGTGATAGAGGGGGTAGTCTGCCTCCCCTCTTCCTTCTGGCCGTTGCGACTCCTCTGTGTCCGAGGGTTTCGCCTTATCAGCACTGACCGCTGTAGAAATCGCCTGCTGAGCGCCGCAGCACGAGGGCATGTCATGGCATGCTTCTCAAACAGCGCACGCTCCTCTGGCGAAAGGGCGTCCAGGAAACTGAACTTGCGTTATCCCTCGATTCACCCTTACCTGCACCGATACTTTTGTTTCCGTCCTTGTCCAAATTCGTTTGCTTATGTTGTTGCCTAGTTCCTTTGGTTTTTGTTGTTGTTGTGTTTGTTGTTTGTAGGTTGTTCATCTTGTTCGTACGACCCTTGGCTCGACAAGGCGAGCCGCCAGGTCAGCTTTTGTATAGGGGAACAAAGAGTCCGCCGCGCCAGAGCCCCATAAAGCGGTAAGGCCACCGTTACTTCCCAATGCGGCCCGGTGTTGGGAAGGCTCCTTTAGACTACAGCCGAATTTACCTCCTGGCTGCAAATCATCCAATGGGCACAGGAGTCGCATAACCCCCTGGATTAAGGGGTGGCAATGTATATATTACAATAATAATAAATTAATTTTAAAAATATATAATTTAAAGTTAACAGTTTATTCGTAAAAGTAGTAGTAGTTTAACGAATACTGCCTGGTTGGGGGTCCCAGGAGGGAAAAAAAATCCGCAATCGTTTCGATTACCCAATTCAAAATAAAAAGGAGGAAAATATCTGGTAAATGTATAGTTTAGGTCCCCCAACTAAGGAGGCTTCAAAAATGAAGTTTTTTTTTAAATCGTCTTATTTTGACGCGAATATTATTAACATATCTATTTTTTTTCAAAAAAAAAAAATTAAAAAAAAACGTTTTTTTAAAGTTTTTTTTACACATAAGCATTAAAAATAAAAAATTGTGATACATTAAAATTAATCCTTTTTTTTCGCTGCTGACAGGAGTTCGGTGCACTATGAACACCCCGGTGTTGGACAGACCAGAGTAATTTTTTTGAAGCGCGGCCGAAGGCCGCCAGTACGGAAGGGAGTTTGACGCGATTGAATTATGAACACCCCGGTTTTGGACCGAACCACGCCGGTGTTGGATCGGCCAGGGTTATATTTTTGATGGGCGGCCGAAGACCGCCACTGCAGAAAGAAGTTGGACGCGGAAGGAATAATGACCACCCCGGTGTTGGATCGGCCAGGGTTATTTTGTTGAAGATGCAAATAAGAAATCTGACCGAAAAAAAGTAATGTTATAGATACCCTCTATAACTATCACTCTCTTTAAATCTCATTTTCTATAACGGATATTCTTACACCTAAACAAGGGGTCGTTTCATTTTTGGTCCGTTTTGTCATTGAATTGGTAAATATTGTGCATATAAGCTAATTTTGTAGAGGGTAGTTGGGTATTATTTATTTTGATTGATTTCATTCGTTTGTATATGGCAACACTTATTATCTGTCAATATGGAACCCATTTGTTATTGTGCATAACACAAAAGTTGTGTAAAAATAAAATGCTTATTTAAAGTAAGTATTTAATTAATTAATATAAATTAAATACGTAGAAACATTGTAGTGAAGTGTAAGTGTATAATAAGTGCATAATATAAAAGAAGAGTTGACCATAATTCGAGAAATTGTAAGATAAAATTTGTGAAATTTTCAACTTAAAATGCAAATATCTCGAAAACTATAAAACAGATCCACTTATTTGCATTTAAATATCAAACATGTTGGCCAATGTAAACGGTACAGAGTCTACAAGAAAGTCGAAAATTAATATATTTAAACTAGGGAAAGGGCTAAGTTGATTTATTTTTGTCGCAATCTAATCGAAGTAATCGGAAATAGCCCAAATTTTGTAAGGAATATTTTCTACGTTTCTACGACAGATCGGGAGTATGTAACCGGAACACACCCGAATTTCTATTCGATTAAAGACTGTGAACACGGTAGTACTCCTCCAAATTACTTCAGATATGTTTTCTGTCGCTACAAAAATAACAACAACAGAAATATTTTCTGTCGTCACAATAACAACAACCTATTTCAGGTAACAGGTATTACACTTTGAAACCCCTATTTATGTAATTTTTTTATACTCTCGCAACTCTCGTTGCTACAGAGTATAATAGTTTTGTTCACCTAACCGTGCAAGCTCTAACTTGAGTAAAAATTGAGATATCTTTATGAAGCTTGGTAGAAATGTTTCTTGGTACCGTGAGACGGTTGGTATTGCAGGTGGGCGTAATCGGACCACTACCACGCCCACAAAACGCTATTAATCAGAAACAAATAAATTTCTATAACTAAGCTCCGCAACAAGATACAAGACTATTATTTGGTATACAGAATCACCTTAGGCAAGGTAATCTGCAGTTAAATTTTTTTTTTTAATTGGGCGTGGTCTGCCCCCTAATAGGTTTAATGTGCATATCTCCTAAACCGCTAAAGCTATGATAACAAAATTCACTGAAAGCAAATGTTTTTAGAACCTCTATTGACGGTGTGGAAATCGAGTGACAAGCTGGACCACTCCCCATATAACGGTACTGTTAAAAAATACTAAAAGCGTGATAAACCAAGCACTAAACACGCCAGAGACATTAAATTTTATCTCTAGGATGGTATGAGATGACTTTATAGAAACCGCGTTAAAAATTACTCAGTGGGCGTGGCACCGCCCACTTTTAGGTGAAAACGCATATCTTGGGATCTGCTTTACCAATTTCAACCAAATTCGGTGCATAACGTTCTTTTCATATTTCTATGTTATAGTGCTAAAATGGGCGAAATCGGACTACAACCACGCCTATTTCCATATAACCATTTTCCATTCCATCTGATTCTTTCACTTTGCAATATGTGGACGTCAGTGCCTATAGTTGACCTTCTACCGAAAATATCAGTCAATCCACAAAGAAATCTCAAACGAGTATACCATTTGACTTTGCGAGAGTATAAAATGTTCGGTTACATCTGAACTTAGCCCTTCCTAACTTGTTTTATATTGTCATTGATGCTTAAATTATAGTGTAATTGAAGTCAGTGTTCAGATAAGAGGAATTACACTTTTAAAACACTATTTTTGTAATTGAAGTCAGGTTTTGTCCATTTTCAGACTTTAACACATGGAAGTTAAGATAATGTGAAATCCAAATTTGGTAGACATTGGTTAAGTATTTGCTGCTTTAGGCGATTTCTCCTTAAAGTTGGTCGTGCCACGCTCTTTGTCCATGTTACTGTAAAATTGAATACTTCTGTCATTTTTCTTTACCGCATTTTATTAGTTTTATAACGATTATTTTATCCATTTTCACATTGTATAAAGAGCCAGTTCTACGTTACCGGAATTTACACGATTTTTTTCGGCCGGGAGCTGTTATTTCAACGATCTAACCCTGTTTTGGTCGGGAAGATTTAGAGTAAGTTTCTCATGATCAGAGCACCATCTAGCGGTGGTTTGCTCCGTATCCTCTTGATATGTGTTGCCATTAAGTTCAAGCAAGGACCGAAGAATTTTTGTGCTGCGTTTGCGCTTAACGGCTCCATCCAAACTTCACCTCGGTTAGGTGTAACACACGCAATGGATCGAGACATCCTTAGACCTTGTCAGGCTGTAAGAAAAACACGTTAATTAGTCGCATGTTGCCAACGCTCAAATGCTACTCTAGCCTCTACGGCTGTGCAAATTGCACTTCGGTCCTGCGGGGCCACTCCAGTCGAGTATCCAACAAGGTACTTCTATATTCCCAAGGAGCTAAACTAGGCAGCATCAGTCTGATCACGTCTGATGTACGTAAAAATCGCGAGCGTGATAATGGGGGGGTGGAGCTGGCGGAAAGACATTCCACATTCTGCAAAGAAAGAAGCATGCAATGAGTCCTCACATGACTTTTCCACCTCTTTGTATACCCAGCGAACCCCACTGATAACACTCCTTTCGACGGGGTCGGAACATAGCTCTTGCTCGCTTGATAAGATAGGCTGATACTAACAATGATAATGACTATGATATATAATATTATATATTATCAGCTATTATGTTTCTTTATCACTCACAATAAGTCGAAGCAACTGAATTTTAATTAGTTTCACAATTATGATAAAAATTAATGACATCAAAGAAATGTGATGAAAAAAAGTAAGAAAGGTCTAAGTTCTGGTGTAACTGAACATTTTATACTTCCGATGTTTGAAACTGTCAAGAACGCTGAAATATTTCAGGTGTTCACAAAACCTTATAAAAAAAAAATCGAGAATAGATTACAAATACAATATATTTGATATCTTAATAACTTATAACATAGGTCACAGATTCACTTAGTCTCTTTACAACATTTTCATATACGAGATATTTATATAAAAGTCAACCTATTTAACTAAAATGAGATATAACTATTTATATTGGGGCAAGGATTAGTATTCAAGGAAACACGTCAGTAATAGGCACTGAGATCCACATAGATGGGGAAATGAAATGTTATGGTCCGATTTCGACAATTTTGGATATGAGATGGCAAAACCTCAAGGTATAACTTGCGCAAAGTTTTATTCCGATATTACTTTTAGTAGTTATAGGGAGAGCGGACGGTATTATCATCTGATTTCATACTTATTAATGCAGTAGGATCTAGCATTTGATTCGTTCTCAGCAAATTTGGTTAATTTTACATTATATTATTTATTTTTAGGAATCGCTCATTACTACAATTTCTCAACTTCACAAAGAAATCAACTTTATGTGCTCTAATAAAATATTTCCCAATCCATCTAATATTGGACATGCTCAATACGAATCTAATAAATCGGCATCAACGCCACCTAGCAGACCGATCTCAGTTCCCACAGCCGCAGCTCTTAAAATGGGGGTGGGTTTTCCTTTAGTTCATCTCGGTCCGCCTGGAACTAAAGTAGACTCCACACGTCTGCTAAGCACACATGCAAAATCTTCACCAATTGGAGCGTCATCAGCACCAAGCACACCCACGTTAAACGTGCACACATTTGAATGTGGTATATGCCAACGCACTACTGACCAGCACCTATTAGCGAAATGTGACACTTGCAAATTACACTATCATTTAAGCTGTTTGAATCCACCATTGATCCGTCATCCAAAAAAGTCTAAACTCTACGGTTGGCAATGTTCTGAATGCGATAAATCAGAAGATTCTGAAGATGTTGCTGATATGCCAAAAGGACCGCGTAAATCGCGAACACGCTTTAACAAAGATGGGTCTATTATTGCTGTACTCGAGGCGGAAATCGACTCTGGACCACCAACTAAAAGACGGTCGGTAGACATACAATTTACAAAAAATAAACCTAACAATTCATTTTCAACTACGAATAAAAATGATGTAAATGGTAAAGTTACACCCAAGGTGGATGTATCATCAACGTCCATTTTGGGGAAAAAAAGTAAATGCTATGTTCCTCTGCAAAATATTAAGAAAACCATTAAATCTCCAGCACAGCAACCTCTCTCACCAGCATTAAACAAAAACAGTAAGATGTTATAGAAAATTGGAATGACTTAACTTTGTTTAAATTCTTTATTATTATTTCAGTAACCCAAATAGTCCATACGTCACTTTCTGATGAACCTTTGTTACTGGTACTACCATCTGTCACCTCAACTCGCGAAAAGGATTCCATCCAAACTCCTGATCCAGACCCCTTGGCATTACCGGTGCACACTAATACTACAATTTTATCTATGGAAGAATTATCAGATCCTATTAAATCAGGAAGAAAACAGAAACGTAAAGACAAACATAGGAGTAAACACATTATTTCATCAGATATTGAAAAATCCCCAAACAAAGAGCATAAACGTAAACGCAAGAAAAAATTACATGGTCATGATACAGAAAACCCACAAGAAAGCATTCCGAAAATAAAAATTAAATTTAAAACTTTGCCATTGCCCGGTGAAGTGACGCCGGAGGCTCAGTTTTTTTACGTATCAGCGGATATGGTGCGTTCGGCTGAAGAAGCTTCACGGCCAACATCTGTAGAAACTGTAGAAGATATAACACCAGGTTTGGTGGAGAAAAGTCCTGTAGGGAGGAGCAAATCGGAAGCAATGATTAATTCGCCAGATTTAAGTGTTACGAAAACAACTCTTATTACTCGTAAAACTAGCCCAAGGAAAACAGCTGGTAAAAGGAATTCACTGTTACCTCATTCTAAATCAGCAACAATCATACAATTATCTTCAAGTATTATTTGTTGCATTTGTAAAGAAGTGGGTTATAGCGGGAATGCTGTAACATGCGATGAGTGTCAAAAGCACTATCACTTTACGTGTTTGGATCCACCATTAAAAAAGACTCCAAAAATACGTGGTTATTCTTGGCACTGTGCTGATTGCGATCCCACAGATGAAGAAAAAAAATAAAACCACATTATGTTTTTTTTATATTAGACATCAACTTTTTAATATATTGTAGTATTAAAAGGAACTTGTTTCTGCTAAAAAATCATGACCAGCGGTCAAACAGATGCAGAACACAACCCCTAACATACAACAGATTGAAATTCTCTGCCTTTAGTTATGAATGATTGCGGCCGACGTTTAGAGTATTTTTTAATAATATCACCGACTTTTAGAAAGTAATTTAAATCCATTTAATACCAAGAAATTTGATGCTACTATTTTTTATTGTTTGTGTGTTCTAAAAATAAATATTTACTTGTCTATTGTAAGGCAACTTGTGTATATAATACTTGTATACTTACCCCGGTTATTAAAAGTGGGTTTTGTATTACGTTACTGACTTCAGTATAATAGAAGAATGGTAACATTAGTACATTTAACTGGTCCAAAATTTTGCATTCTGAGTGAATTTGGGTCCATAACTGATTTTCTAACAATCGTATGGTATAAAAAAAGATATAAAAAATTTTCGAAATATGTTATAATAAACAACCCAATTATTTATAATTTTATAGGTATTATATAGGAAATAATGAAATAAAAAAATAGTTACGTTTTTAATTATGAACTGGACCGCAGTAAAGCCAAAATGAAATTAAAGAAATATATTAACCAAAATGCAAATTTAAACAAAGAAATCAAAAAATATGTATTGGCAACATTGCTCAAATTTGAGTAAGAATTCTTAAAATTAGACAAGGAAATGGAAAACTTGGCATACATTGCAATGTAAAATCATTGTTTAAAATAATTTAAACGCTCGGCTAGAAATTACTGGTTTTATGTGCATTTAAAACATCACCTACTCACAAGTCAATAATATTTACAATTGCAAATGTTGTGATTATTTCATTATATTTATTTATGCCTATACAAATAAATGTTAATTTAATCATGTTATATATTAATAGACATTGATATAACACCAAAAGTTATGACCAAATTATATCAAAACAAGTAAGGAAGGGCTAAGTTCGGATGTAACCGAACATTTTATACTCTCGCAAAGTCAAATGGTATACTCGTTTGAGATTTCTTTGTGGATTGACTGATATTTTCGGTAGAAGGTCAACTATAGGCACTGGGGTCCACATATTTAGTACTTAGGGGTTTGAACAGTTTTAATTCGATTTAGACAATTTTCGGCCGCAAGGTGGCATACTTTAATTGCATTATTCACGCAAAGTTTTACCCGATATAATCATTGTTACCTGATTTGCATAGTTGGAAAGTGAAAGAATCAGATGGAATTGAAAATAGTGTTACATGGGAGTAAGCGTGATTGTAGTCGATTACGCCCATTTTCGCACTATGACATAGAAACATGAAAGAACGTTACGCACCGAATTTGGTTGAAATCGGTTAAGCAGATCTCAAGATATGGGTTTTCACCTAAAAGTGGGCTGTGCCACGCCCACTGTCTAATTTTGAACGCGGTTCCTATAAAGTCGTCTTATACCATCTCAGAGATAAAATTTAATGTCTCTGGCGTGTTTAGTGCTTGATTTATCGCGCTTTTAGTAGTTTTTAACAGTACCGTTATATGGGGAGTGGGCGGAGTTGCCACCGCATATCAACTATTTTCACACCGTCAATGAAGTGCTAAAACATTTGCTTCCAGTGAATTTTGTTATTATAGCATTAGCGGTTTAGAGATATGCACATTAAACCTATTAAGGCGGGACCACGCCCACTTTAAAAAAAATTTTTAACTGCAGATGCCCTCCCTAATGTGATCCTGTGTACCAAATAACAGTCTTGTATCTTATTGCGGAGCTTAGTTATGGCAAGTTATTTGTTTTTGATTAATGGCGTGGCAGTGGTCCGATTACGCCCATCTGCAATACCACACGTCTCCGGTACCAAGAACATGTCTACCAAGTTTCATAAAGATATCTCAATTTTTACTCAAGTTAGAGCTTGCACGGACGGACGGACAGACGGACGGACGGACAGACAGTCACCGGATTTCAACTCGTCTCTTCATCCTGATCATCAATATATATATAACCCTATATCTAACTCGATTAATTTTAGGTGATACAAACAACCGTTAGGTGAACAAAACTATTATACTCTGTAGCAACAGGTTGCGAGAGTATAACAAGTAAGGAAGGGCTAAGTCGGATGTAACCGAATATTTTATACTATCGCAAAGTCAAATGGTATACTCGTTTGAGATTTCTTTGTGGTTGGCTGATATTTTCGGTAGAAGGTAAACTATAGGCCACTGGGGTCACAATATTTAGTACTTAGGGCTTGAACAGTTTTGGTTCGATTTAGACAATTTTGGCCACAAGGTGGCATGCTTTAAACAGATTATTTACGCAGTTTTACGCCGATATAATCATTGTTGCTTGATTTGCATAGTGAAAGTGAAAGAATCAAGTGGAATTTAAAATGGTGTCATATGGAAAATAGGCGTGGTTGTAATCCGATTTCGCCCATTTTCGGACCATAACATAGAAATATAAAAGAATGTTATGTACTAAATTTGGTTGAAATCGGTTAAAAAGATCCCAAGATATGGGTTTTACCTAAATGTGAGCGGTGTCACGCCCACTGTCTAATTTTGAACACGGCTCCTATAAAGTCATCTCATACCATCCCAGAGATAAAATTTAATGTCTCTGCCGTGTTTAGTGCTTGATTTATAGCGCTTTTAGTAGTTTTTAACAGTACCGTTATATGGGAGAGTGGGCGGAGCTGCACCCGATTTCAACTATTTTCGCACCGTCAATAGAAGTGCTAAAAACATTTGCTTCCAGTGATTTTGTTATTATAGCATTAGCGGTTTAGGAGATATGCACATTAAACCTATTAGAGGCGGACCACGCCCACTTAAAAAAAAAATTTAACTGCAGATGCCCCTCCCTAATGTGATCCTGTGTAGCAAATAACAGTCTTGTATCTTATTGCGGAGCTTAGTTATGACAATTTATTTGTTTTTGATAATGGCGTTTTGTGGGCGTGGCAGTGGTCCGATTACGCCCATCTGCAATACCAACCGTCTTACGGTACCAAGAAACATGTCTACCAAGTTTCATAAAGATATCTAATCTAATTTTTACTCAAGTTACAGCTTGCACGGACGGATGGACAGACAGTCACCCGGATTTCAACTCGTCTCTTCATCCTGATCATTTATATATGACAGCTGTAAACATGTGCAGTGTGCATAGTGAAAAGTGCTCCGTAATATCTGAAAATATTACATCAATCGTATATATAAAAGTGAAGAATATTAAATTAATGCCTCATATAAGCTTCCTTAAAAGAAAATAATAATTCTTATAAGAAAATATAAAGATGTACAAAGAAAAGTTCGATTAAATTTTGATATTGAACCATAATTGAATTTCGTACAACAAAGAAAGGTGTGTGCGACGTAATATTGTGAGGTGTAATAAAAAAGCATAACAAACATTAACATTGATTGTGAATTAGGCATCATAGAGTGAATGAATGCATTGATAATACACGAAAATAAAAATTACTCCGGAATTATTTGGAACATATCTTTTTCCTGTATCGTGTACTTACAAAATGCCACCAAAAAGTAAATACAACACAACAGATTTGTGGTTATTGCTGAGACATAATCCGGGATAAAACGCAGCCAAGTATTCAATGTGCAGCTTGCCGACGTTGGTTTCACTCAAAGTGCACCAACCTTTCATCCGATGAGTTAAATCCATCGTCAACAGGTTTCTCACATGATCTCATTTACAAAGTCAAACAGAAAAATCTGCACACCTGATATATAAAATTCGGAAAACTAAGCCAAATTATTTACGATCAGCAGGTTAAGATTGGAATGCAAAAAGTTAAGAATCGAATGCTACAAAAGTTATGTCGAAAGGTAGAGGACAAACTGCAATCGGAGATCAAAGCATTCTGGAATTTTATCAAGGACAAAACCGTTGCACCGGTGACATACTATCTTCCGTAGCCTGGAATGACGCTCAGCAGATACGGACCAGGTATCAGTAACCTCTTTGCGTCCTTCTTCCACAGCATCTATGCGCCATCGAATAGCAACGCCCAGGTATTGCAACCTTCAATCCTGGTACACAGCGCACACACTTGGATGCCCTGACAGTGACCTACGATGCAGTACTCAAAGAACTTCTTGCTCTCGACCCCAGCAAAGGTGCAGGCCCCGATGGTTTGCCTAACATATTCATCAAAAACTGTGCGGTAGGCCTATGTGAGCCTTTGACACATATATTTGGCGAATCTCTTCACCATGGTACCTTCCCGACCTACTGGAAACTGTCATACATCTCACCGATTCATAAGAGGGCCAAGACTTGGTTACCAACTACCGTTCTCTATATGCATACAGTCTGCACTTGCAAACTATTTGAGAGGTTAGTGCTTCCACAGATACGTCAGGCATTTGAAAACATCATAACAACCAAACAACATGGCTTTACTGGTGGCAGATCCACCACTACCAATTTGTTCATATACGTCGACAAACTGCTGAACTCCATGGATTCCGGCAACTGCACACACAGCATTTACACAGACACAGACTACGAAATACTTTTAGATAAGCTAAGTAAATATGGTGTGGCTGGACGTGCATTAGCTTGGATACGTACATACCTCACAGACAGACGCTTGCAAGTCAGAGTAGATGGCCACTTATCCATGAATATGAAGTAATCTCTGGTGTGCCACAAGGATCTCACGCAGACAAAATTACATCAAAGGCGTTCAAAGCCCTTAGATTTATACTGAGGAGTGGTAAAGATTTCAAAAACCTTGGACACTCATTAGACTATTGAAGTCACTTGTACACCAATTTGGAATATGGTTCGGTAAACTGTCTTCCTACACTAACACGACAATCGATAAGTTGAAAAGGTGCAGAGTAAATTCTGTAAGTCACTGGCTATAAACTATCGTCACCAAGTCACATCTGCACTACTGATGAGGTCTACCAGTGCTACTGTATATACAAACTGTCTTCTCGTCGACAGGTCGCTGACCTCTGCTTTTCTACAAAGTAGTCAATAACATCACTGATGCTCATGAGATCCTAAACAGTTTTGAACTCGCCCCTGCTGTTCTTACCTGAGGCGAAATAGATTACTAAAACATCGAAATCCAAGAAAAATTATGTTATCCATGGTAATCAGAATAGACTGGCTAATTTAGTAAATTCACTTCAGGTGAAATTGATTTCTATGAAGGAACATACGCTGCTTTTACCGAAAACACCAAGAGACACCTGCTCGTCTGAATTACATCTAAATAAGTGTGAATTACAT